AATTTGATAGGATAGAATTTCTGTAGCTTGGCTTGAATAAATTTAGACTGCAGTGTGGGATGGGATTTCTAGTAGGAGACTATTTTCCCCAGCTGCAGTCCTCCATAACTGTCCTGTCCAGTAGGGTTCTTCATTTAAGGTATGGATGGAAGCTTCTAGAATGATTCTCTTCAGGCTAAATTGCTGTAGGCACAAGTGTGATTGGGGACAAGGGAGAGGAAACATAATGCAGTGTTCTACAACCTTTCTGGTTTTGTGGACCGGCAAGGGGAGGAAGAGGGAATCGTTCTGTGTGAGGGATGTGCGTGCAAATGGAGCGTGTGCGCCTGTGCTTGCCTGCTGGTCAGGTATATGAGGATGCGCGCATGTTCACCCGCTATTTCCGTGGCTGTTTGGTTGCAAACAGGTCGCGACCCCCTGGCGTGCTGCGGTCCAGAGGTTGGGGACCCTTGCAATAATGTATTAGAGGCTGGGCTGGCGTACTTTTCAATCACTTGCCAGAAAAATACATTTTATCATATATACATGTACACTTGTATGCAAAGATATATTGGTGGAGGGGTTGGAAAAGAAGTATTTGAAGGTTGAGAGGTAGATTTGGGGGTGGAAAAGTTATAACTTGACTATCAAAATTATCCTTGTACATTATTTCTGATTAAGCAGGAAATTGATGCAAATGTATGTGCCTCTCAAATATTGATATTTAAGGGACTGTCTTAAATAAGAATGGAGAGGAATACATTTAGTTAATTGCTAATTTTGTAGATTACAGTGGGTGTAAAAAGCGAGCCTGCCATTCTGGGATTGCACATCATAGGAATAAAACAAGGGCCTTTCTTGTTTCCCTAGGCTTTAAACCTATTAATAGAGTTGTTATCTGACAAAACTATTGTATTTTTCCACAATTAAAATGTATTAGCAAGTCTTGAACAAAGGGGGATAAATGAAGTCCTGATGAGATGATCATCAAAACATCATCTGATTTGCATTTCTATAAGCTTTATGACCATATGAACAGGAAATTAATTCTGGCAGTGGATTTAATGGGACTGCAGTCTGCCTTCCAAAAGGAAGCCACACAAAAGCTCCTATTCTCACCATGAGTAGCGTCTAGGTGATTGATTCCGCCTTTCTTTTTTCAGTCCCTAGAAAACATATTTTAAACATGAAAAATTGCTTTTCCATCCTCCCGTAGGTCATCAAGAAAGGGATATTTTGATACATCCAGGGGCTCAGGTTGCGAATTCTGCAGATTTGAGATTTAGCTCCATTGCTTGAGCTGACAGTAACTTTCTCTCGCACCCTCGTGCACCCAAGCCTACCCACAACATGCCTCTTGTGTACCCCCTGGCACCGTCACACACACTCCCTGCTTTGCACCCCTGACACTTTCCCTTGTCTACTTTCTCCCACCCTCCCTCATGGAATGGAGCAACTGGCCACAGCCAGCCCACCGTGGGACAATTTAACAATTCAATGTAATTATTCAAAATGTAAAAAAAAATATTTTGATTTTTGTGATTCACATTTCCT